GAGAGTGGGGGTGGGAAGAGAATAATGAAGAGACCAAAGGCAAAAGAAATGCAAATAAAATTTCCTTACAACCTGCAGCCCATTGACAAATACTTGAGACTTGCAGAGTATGACATTCCTTAAGGAACTCACAAACTGCCTTAATGTTAATGCTTTGCTAGAGACGAAAAGCAACCTTAGCTTGACAATAACCAGACCTCCGGGATCCTAGAAGTTTTCTTTAACATACAGAAATCCCTGCGTGTTAAACTCCAAAATATATAATCAGTCACACCTCACAATCACAAGTGCAGCTCTTTCTGCCCCTGGGTCCTGTCCCTGGCTTTAATAAAAACACCTTTTTTGCACCAAAAATGTTTCAAGGTTTCTTTCTTGACTGTTGCGCTCAACGACCCGACAGCAGGGACTATGACTTCAAAGTACACTCCAAATGTCGGGAATTATCCCACTTATAGTAATCATAACAGCCTTCCTGGTACCTGATATTCTTTCAAAATTTTTAAATGTATCAGCAAAGGAACCAAGGATGATTGACTTACAGGGTGCAAACCTAAACTCATAATCCGCAGATATCACAGAGGTAAAGAAAAAAGTCATGACCTGTGAATGCCACACAAAGAATCAACAAAAGCTTCAAGAACTTCAGAGCAGTGGCATTACTGCCTCAAATTTTGATCACATCTCTCAGGTAAGCTGAAAGTCTGATCAAAAGGAGGGGATTGTTAAAAAGAAAATCACAGACCCAAAATGGCATCACTTAGGTTAAGGCCCCAAGTCAAGTAGGATGAGGGAGCCTGGGGCAAACTGAGGGCAAAGTACAGGCTAACAGAACCCCCTGCCATCACTAGGTGGGATATGAGTGATATTTCTCAGACACCCCCGGCTGCCCAAGAACAGGGGAAAGGAAAGAAGGCAAATGGTTGACTGATAGAGATCACAGTCATGCAGACAGGAGTCTCCTTCGGTTTACAGATAACTTAGTAAACTGCAAGAAAAAGGCAATCTTATCCATAGCTTAATCTCCAGAAACCTATAGGCTCTGTTTCCTGGAGCCCTACTGTCACCCTCATCAAGATGGAAGGGGGTTTAAGTACTTGCCATGATGATGCGGGAAACAAAGGCAAATGAAAAAGTAAATCCCCTTACTGCCTCCACCCCATCGACAAGTCCTTGAAACAGGCAGAGTGACCTCCCTCCAGGAGCTCAGCTGCCTCAATGTCCTGAAAACCTTGCTTCCAAAATACCTTAGAGACTTACTCTACCCCTGACCCCCTCCCAACCTGATGGTATATAATCAGTTACCCGTCACAACCCCAGTGCACCTCTTTCTGCCCACGGGCCCTGTCCCCGTGCTTTCATAAAATCACCTTTTTGCACCAAAGATGTCTTCAAGAATTCTTCCTTGGCCATTGGCTCTGGACCAACCCATCATCACCCCAAAACCCCATCAAGTAAACCAAGACTTACTACCTAACCCACTACTGCAACTGCAACACCCCAAATGTTACCCCATGTAACCTGTAACCAGTCAACATCAAATTTCCTGGTCAATTCTAGACCAGGATTGGAGTAGTAAGTAGTACTTACTATTCCACTTAGAAAGGCAACTTGGCCTAAACAATGCATTCCTTGCTAATAAATTCCTTTCTTCTCCTTCTCCTTCTTCTTCTTTTTTATTTATTTTATTTTATTTTATTTTATTTTATTTTATTTTATTTTATTTTATTTCATTTCGTTTCGTTTCGTTTCATTTTATTTCATTTTATTTTACTTTGTTTTTCTACTTATTTATTTTTATGCCCTTTCTCTGCCTTTAAATACCTTTTTCTTGTTTAGCTCCGGGGAGCTCCCCTCCACTTGCAATGGGATGCTGCCTGCCTGACTCATGAATCATTTCCAAAGACAATTAGTTCTTCAAATTTACTCGGTTGAATTTTGTTTTTTAACACGAGTAATCCAGTGAGTAAAATGTTTCTGAGTTCTAGTGAGCCACTAGGGCAAATTAACCAAACCGAAGGAGGGGGTCCTTGGACCCTCCTTTGTATAACCAGTCAGTCAGAAGCACAGGTGACAATCTGGGCTTGACGTCTAAAGTGGGGAGAGGGCAGTTTTGTGGGGCTAAGCCCTTCAACTGTGGGACCCAGCACTGTCTCTAGGTATATAGTATCAGAATTGAGTTGAATTGTAGGACCTCCAGCTGGTGTCAGACAATTGCTTAATGGTATGGGACCCTCCTCCCCCACCTCAGAATTGGGTGTCAGAATTGTAGGTGGTGATCAGAAGTGGGATCGGAGTCAGAGTTATAGTATGTTATGTATGATAAAAGATAAGAGATCTGCCTCCGTGTTGCTACTAAATATATATGCCTAGATATTAATATTGTTAAAAAGAAGACAGCAGTTCCAAAATGGAGTCACTTATTCTAAACCCCACCAAGACTTAATACCTAAGCTAACTGGCAGCTTCAACTTCTCCCAGAAATGTGAACTTTAACCAGACAACCTGAAATTTCCTGGGCTGTACTACAACTTAATCCTTAAGCTCCCCGTAGGAGAGCCACCTTGAATAAAATAATGCATTGTTTGATAATAATTTTTCTTTTTCCACTCTCTCTCTGCCTTTAAAAACCTTCCTTTTTCTAAACCTCAATGGAGTTTTGTTTTTGTTTTTTTCCCCCCTAGATGAAATGCTGCTGGGCTCATAAATCACTGAATGAAGCCAATTTGGTCTTTAAATTTACTCAGTTGAATTCTTGTTATTTAATACTTACTGACTAGAACACTTTCAGCTTTCTACGGACGTGAATCTGATGGGTACAGTTATTTACATTGTAAGAATGTATATATATTTTGCCACAGAACTTAATAAAACATTTATTTTTTAACTATCAGTCCTAACCATTGTTCTGTGGCTAAACTGGCTCCCATAAAAAGAAAAAAATATTTTTGCTCACCTGTAGATTATACTCTGCTGACTCAGGAATACTAGCTGAAGCCAAAAGAAGGATTTCACTCTCCAAAGAAAGAATTTAGACGAGGAAGTCGCTGCTCTGAGGAGTGAGTCTATCAGAGCTCCTCATTTATAAGTCATGGTAAATAAAGTGGGGGGGGGGGGGAGATAAAAGAGAGACTAAAGAGGTCAAAGAAATAAAAAACATGTGGTATTAAAAGATAAGGATCAAAACAACTTCCAGAGAGACAGCTTGTTTGTTGAGTCATCGTGAGTAGGAGTGGAGAAACTCACAGGATCTGGTGATTCTGTGGTCTCCTCATGCTAGAGAAAGGGGGCAGAGGTCGCTTACGTAACATGCATGGGGTGAAGGGTGGTGAAGAGGCTGGGGCCACCAGGTACTAATGCTGTCACCAGACAAATGTCTAGGAAAGAGAGGGAAGAATTCTCGAAAAAGCCCGCACAAGACCATCAGGACAGAAGATGCCCATGTCCCGCATGGAAGAGTCCGGGGCACTGGTACAATCTTGGGATCTGAATGGCATAGCCCCTGGAGAGGAAATCCAGACATGATGGGAGCAGAGATCAAGGGGATCGTCTGCTGCTCAGAACATCTCCAGCCTCCTGGAACTGGGTTGAACTAAATGGAATGGAAATAAGCATCTGGGAGAAGCCTAGGAGAGCAACTGTCATCTTCTGTGTGAAAAAGATGTCCCCAGCCCAGAGTGATCCCCAACCACTCCCGCATGAACCAGAAAGCTCCCTGCTCTCCTGTGTGTCTCTTCCCAGTGTTAATCAGTGACCACCTGGAAAAAAAAGAGCTCAGCGGTAACAGGGCTGAGAGACCAATGGTAACTGGGGGAAAGGTGACAGGTTGGCCCTTTCTAAGGAAGCTCCCAGTGTAACACAGACTGCAACAAATCTGAGGATCCAGGGGGCTTAATCGGGATTGGATAAATTTTAGGATAGAATATTTCCAGAAGGAAACAGAGTGTGGTCTGAAGGAGATCATTTTTTCTTTTTTATTTCTGTCCTAAGGATCTGATTTCCATACAATTAGAACTTAAGAGTATAATAAACAGATAATAGAAGAATTTTAATCAGTTAACAAGTTACTCAAAATTTTTTGAAAAGTTACTCATAATTACTTTAGGAGATGCCCTTGTTTTTTTACTTCCTATATCGTAATCAACGAGGATCAAAAGCCCTCTGCATATTTAAGGTGCCCCCTGTGTATTTACAAATGATAGACAAACATTCACATATATCAGAGTAGTTAACACAAAAGGAGTTTTCTAAGTCCCCCTCCATTTAACTGCATGTTCTGCTACACACACATATACTCACATATACTTACATTGCACCTACACGGATCCTACATGCAGCTCCCACAAATGAGTTGGTGCTATATATCAAATACGGAAAACGTAAAACATATAAAACCCATCCACTGCTTTTCACGTTTTAAGTTCGTTGTTCCGGCCAATTTGTGACATCTCTTCTACACAGACATGAAGCTTTTTTTTTTTTTTTTCCCTCTCCCTTTCTTTGCCAGGGTAATCCTGAAAGTGTGCCAGTGGAAAGGGATCATTCTAATCTCCGGGGTCCTTGCCCCAAGCGCGGAGGGTCTTTGTCAAACACTCTTCCGTACAGGGCCAAAACTAAGACAGGCAGAGGGGTTCTGCTTCGGCTCCTCAGACGTCCGTCTCTCAAGACCTGATCAAAGAGAGCAAAGGATTTAACTCCAATGCAGAGCTTTGGTTTCCAGCCCAGAGGCCTTCTCTGACAGCATCATTCTAAAATAGTAACAGACAGGCACACGGGATTTGGTGTCAGAAGACCCATGTGTCAGATCTAAAGGTCGAAGGGTAGAGAGATTTGGGTGAAAGTGCAGCAAAAAAACTACCGCACAGGTGGTTAAAAAAGATGACGTATAAAAAAAATTCTTTTAACTCATGAAGCACCGCCATTATTACTCTCATTATTGCTATCATTATAACAACTTCTCAAAATAACATACCCATGAAATAAGCTGTAGGTGCATTGTTTAATGTGTTTAACTTGGGCCTTCACACCATTAAAAAAAAAAATTATTTATTTATGCAAATAAAGAGAACATTAGCTGCGGTCGTCCATAACCCTACTGTTGCCTTGGATATCAGCATCGCATTCATGTAGAAAAAGTGAACCCCAAATTCTCTGTCACAGCCTAAAGACATCTAGAACCACAATTTCTCTTCCATATTAAAGCTTCCCGTGTCTTTAAAGCTCTGCCTGTATAATGTGAACCACAGCACTGCAATGCTGTGTCATAATCTCAAAGATTTCCATGGTGCTAGTCTACCCCATCTGTTCAAAGAAATTGATCATCCTGAATTCCTCCTACCTCATAATGCCTTTCAGGAGCAAGCTGACTTCCACTGAGAATGATCTGTGGGAAAACATAACGTGTTGCAAATGTGCCGCTGAGGGAGAATTCTTCCAACTTGGTGAAAGCTGACCCCACGGGCTCCCCACAAGTTCTCAGGTCACTGATTTGACACTTCAGTAATGTGCATATCTGTGTAGACAAAGGAGAGAGAAGTAGTCAGAGATCTTGGAAATAGTTTCTCCATGAAAGACACAATCTCAAGGAATAGAGGAAGATTTGTTAAGTCGCATCTGTCAGGGAGGAAGAATTTCCTGTCCCCGTCAAGGTCCTTCTGGCCAGACTAAGAATTGAATGGACACGAGACAGATTAACAGGAGAACGTCAAATTGAATTTTGTACATTTGGGAATCCACACAGACATGGCAATTCCCAAGACAGGCAAAATGAGGTGCGCATATCGTTCTGGAATAAGGAGGAGGGTGTAGGGGTCTGGGACTTCAAAGGGAAGGAATGCAATTTACAGTAAGATGAGAAAGAATAAACATTGGGTACACAAATATTTGCTGGGCCTCTTAGAAACGCTGGAATGTGGAGGCCTTTGATCCAACAGGCCTCGTGAGGCTCCTCCCTGTTTGCCACACCTGGTTCCTGTCCTCACATCCTTACTTATGCTGATAGCTCTCTTTCTGAAGCAGATCCTCTACCTAAATTCTTGTAGGCAGTTGTGGGGGAGGTAAAGAGCTTTTTCTGAATCTTCTGGCTTTTAATTGCTTTTTTAATTCACAATAATCTTCATGCCCAAATGGCTCCTCTTGGGATGGCCTGCCTTTATCCCCTACACCTCTTAAGCAGTCTTTTCAAACTGGAGGTCAGAGGCTATTAGTGAATCTGAAAATCAGTTCAATAGGTCAGGACTAACTCCCTCCCTCTCTCTCTCTCTCTCTCTCTCTGTCTCTTTTAAATAAAGTGAAATGCAATAAATTGGATTTTAAAAGTCAGACTGCTATTGCTCATAATTATGGCTACTTCTAATTCTAATTGAAGTAATAAAAAAAAATATTTGTTTCAATTACCATCACCCATCTTGACCGCACAGCATCGTAACATGAAACAGACTTCTGATTCTGGACTCCTGTTGAAGACAGTTCGAAAAGCACTGTTCTAAAGTAACCTGACACAAAACGAGAAGGCATGGAGGTTGCAGCCTTTCAACTTGAATCCAGCTGGCTGAGAGCTCACTCATCAACTCGCTTTATGTTTTACCTTGCAGCCAAGAGAAGACATTCTGTTCTTGCTAAGACTAAACAAAGTGTGCTGGGGGAAAACTTCAGTGATGACTGTAACGGGCTACCAAGTAACTGAATCCAGCACGATTTTAAAAGAAATGCAGCGATGATCCAGAAGAAAAACTAATAAACAATCCATTCTAACTTACGTCACTATTGTTTACCTGTAGGTACTATTGACCTTCTACCGTGTGCAGTCCGTCAAAAGCACCTAGTGCGTAAACCTCATCTGTTCGTTTCTCCGACATCTTGTAAGTTAAGTGACAGCACAGGTCTTTCTGGCAAACTGTGTAATTTCCTGTGTTTCTCTTAAGCTCAATGAAGGTGAGCTCATCAAAATAAATCATCCCCGGAAAATTTGACTGTTCAGACAAGAATGGCTTGACACTTCTGGCATAAGCACTCCAGTCAACAGCTGCAGGATAGGTGGGTTCACTTCGCGGCCGGGACTTCAGTTCGGACAGCATCAGCTGGCCACTCTCTGTTTCCATGTCATAGTGATACACTTTGACCGCTTCCGGTGCGTAGATTCCACTCCCTATGGCGACACAAGGCAACGCAAATATTGGTTCCAAATTTTGCATGGTTACAAACTCATAAAATCATCCCCCAGAGAAATTCGATATGGCTTTATGAAAGCATAAGCACTTTCAGGACAGTTAAGGAGATGGCTTGTTAGCCTGGCATAGTTCCCATTTGCCTCTGTGTCCTCCATTAGGTTCTGCTTGCACTGAAATTATCAATTGACTTGGGTCAATTGACTTTCTTACTTAAACTACCTCTTTTTTAACCAACTTAACAAACAACTAGGAAATTCCCCAACACGAAGAATAATTTTAGCTCTCTGCTGACCTAATTTATTTGTGTTTAAGTTTCTTCATCTGGATCAATGAATAACCCAAGCAGTCAAGAGGGGAGCTTGTATTACCTGGAACATGGATGCAATGAAGGATAAACTCTGGTTAAGTCTAAAATCATTTTATCACCTTAACCACAAAGATTTGTTTCACTATTACTGATGGATGCGGGCAGCAAAGTTCTTTAGATCTGGCTTTGTTTTTCTTTTTTTGCTTGTTTTTGTTTGTTTGTTTGTTCATGTGACTTGACTTCTCTTTAACTCCAATGTTCCCTCATGTGAAATTGAGATAATAGCGTTTACCTCCTTCCGTACTCATAGGGATAATGGTCCTTAAAACATATTGGCACTGAAAGCCAGGCTATTATTAATTTTGTGACATTAGAATTAATAAAGGAATTATTAAAGACAAGTGTGGTTTGGAAATCAATGAAGACTGTCTAAGGCTATCATGGCCAGTCGGTGCAGGACACGTGTGAGTTACCTGTCATGTGCATGCTGGTGTTGTGGGTATTCGCAGCAAGCAAGTTGACTCTCATGGCTCTGGCCCACGCAGAGTGGAAGGGAACAGCCGACAGAAGGGGCAGCGTGTTGTACCACGCCACCGGGTAGAGGACGCTGTCCACTTGAAACTCATCCACCACCACCACAGCTGGGGTGTGAGAAAAAATGTCAAAGCAAGTGAAAATGCCAAACTTCCCAAAAGGAGTCTCAAAAGTCACAGATTCTGAATCCTTGGGGAAATCAAATTGAATTTCAGGCGCAAAAAGATTGTACTGTTAACAAAAAGCAAAGAAGGGGGAAATTCATGAGAAAACTACCAAGGAGAGGTGTTTCATACCCATCAAAATTTTTTCCCAGCCATGTTGACATGCATATTTAAAACTATTGCACATACATTTGCAGAAATCACACCCAGTATACCACTGTCTAGGAGTTTTATTACGACGGTGCTGGTCAGAAAACTCCACCTTTCCACAACTAACGAACGAAATCATATCTAAAAACGATATTTGAAAGGTGACTATTTCTCTTAACATCACAGGTTGAAAATCTGAATCTTATAAACTTCAGATTTTTTGTCACTGTATTCTTTAAATACCAACAACACTGCCAGTGTGAATCCTAGCACGTAGTAATAAAATTAACTTTGTCATATCTCCCTTTGATACTGCTGGGTTTATAGAAGTGAAGTACATTTAAAGTAAAGTTAGGCAAGGTAATAGCTCACACTTGTTAATCAGTGAGCCATTGGTAATTTTTTTCCAGCTTGATTATTGCTCCCCAACTCCACTTTGCCCCGGGTCAAGAGTACTTGCTCAGATACTATGTACCATGAGGCGATGTGTACATATGTGTGCTCTGGCAATACCCCCTCCCTTTCAGTGAGGGTCACTTGCTCCTCTACCCTACACGCAGGTGGAAGCTTGTCCTTCATCCCGCAGGGATCGGCTCAAGGAAGGCACGTAGCCTAACTGGCGTCAAGGGGTGATGACGAGGTCTACAAGGCAGGACAAAAATACACTCTTCCTCTGGATTTTGCTCCTACAGAATGTGAGCTTTATGTTGAGCACCATGGGGTCTCTAAAAGCACAGCTCGAGTAAAAGCTGTAACACAGGTTAAGAGAGCTAGAGGAATGGCTGACGTCTTTTGAGCCTCTGAGGGACAGACTACATCTGATAAAGCTTAGTCATGCTATGAGTGTCAATGAATTGAGCCAAAACACTAACTAGGGTATAACAGCATTTCTCCTTCTTTCTCAGAGACTATTAACATCTTTGTGAGACTATGATCACATTCAATATTCTGCCAAATTCTGCTTTATGCTTAATTCAAACTCAGAACCCTTATATGAGACCAGAGTAAATGAAACCCCCTTTTCAACTAAAGCATAATAATCAAGAGACGCATTCATAACAGTTCTTTCGGCCATGTTCAACAAATGAATGTACATATATACCACAAACAAACACAAGAAGATATTCTTACCTTATGGTAGCGTGCCACCAGCCTACCCTCAGAATCAAACACCACATCAGTGTTGTACTGGTAACGGCCATCGGGGGGACACTGAGGGTCACTGGTATTGCATGGTTTCTTGTCCCCAATATTTGCCACAACGTAGATGGAGTTGTCCTTGGCCAGGCAGCTGAGCCTTTGTTGCACTGGGGTGTAGCCAAACCTGATTTAATAGATATGGCCTTAAACTTACTGTACTTGAGTGATTTCTAATCTTCCAGAACATACTTTATTTGCCTGTTACTTAGAACACAAGCTCTAGATTAAGAATCAAATCAGAAAAGATCTAAAATTCCACATGCAATATAGTCTTCATATTTATGAAAGCTAACCTAGTTTACCTTGCTTATTTTTTATTGAAGTATAGTTGACACATTGTTACATTAGTTCTAGGCGTACAGCCTAATGATTCGACAGTCCTCGACGTCGTGCTATGCTCACTACCAGTGTAGCTATCATTTGTCACCACACAACACTATGACAATACCATGGACTACATTTGCTATACTGTGCCTTTTAGTCCATGACTAATTCATTCCATAAAGGGAATCCCGTATCTCCCACTCCCCTTTGCACATCTTGCCCATCCCCCCGCCTCCCCTGAAGGCTAACCTATTTTAATGTGCCAGACTCTCAGTTGCAGTGTGAGACTGAAACACTGGAAAGATGGTGGAGGAAGAGGAGAAAGAAGAGAAGGAAAGCTTTCTCTTATAAAGTGCTTCTAGGCAGGCAAATGAAGGGCTTGAAATTTAACACACTCTTTTAGTGGGGAGGAGCTTTTCTATAATTCTAGCCATACTCTTACTAGGAAGCAGTAAATAGTTGTTCCTATGTCAATCGTCTTCTATAGAGAACAAATGCATCATTATGTACTTGAAATATTTCAGGAAGGAAGGGAGGGAAGGAGGGAGGAAGGGAGGGAGGAAGGAAGGAAGGGAGGGAGAGAGGGAGGAGAAAGAAAAGAAAGGAAGAAAGAAAGAAAAGGAAAAAGGAGAGAGAGAAAAAGAAAGAGAGAGAAAGAAAGAAAGAAAGAAAGAAGAAAGAAAGAAAAAGAAAGAAAGAAAGAAAGAAAAAGAAAGAAAGAAAGAAAAAGAAAGAAAGAAAGAAAGAGAAAGAAAGAAAGAAAGAAAGAAAGAAAGAAAGAAAGAAAGAAAGGAGGGAGAGAGGGAGAGAGGGAGGGAGGGAGGGAGGAAAGAAGGAAGGGACTTCACTGTGTTGCCTCAGTTTCCTTATCTGTCAGTACAACATAATTACTTCCTGCCTGCCTGCGACGGTGTTCATGAGAAACCCTGAGATAAATACGGACTATGAAATTGCTTCTCAAAGTATTGCCAAATCCATCTACATTGGGGACATTAACCAAGAAATAAGAAGAGATTGAGGTGACAAAATAGGTGGAATGATAGGTGGCTTCAAATATTTGAAAGGCTCTAATCTGAAGGAGATGAGTCATATATATCCAATGATAATATATAAAGTAATAAAGGCAGTACAAAGACTAACGTTATAGAGAGACAGATATGCAGAAAAGAAAAAAATGTTTGCAACCAGAACATTCTGTCAAAGGAGTGGATTCCCTGGTCACTGGTGATTTCAAATACAATATGGTGCATCCAGGTGCTCCAAGACTACCAGTTATCAGGGCTCAGATGGAAATGGCTGGGTTTGGTTTCCTGCCATGTTAATTACCAATATGAGACTGTAAGCCTCCTTTTTTCCCTGATATGAAAAATGGAAATAGTTATACCTGTCACATAAAGTGAACGAGACAATATGTCTAGTGTACCAGGTATAATTCCTGGAAACACGTGGATGCTCCATAAAGAAATAATGGCCATTATGGACTTTGTAACTACAGGGGGACAACCCAGGAAACTGATGGATTTACTGCTTCTAGAAGCCATTTGGGTTCTCTCCATCATCTCTCAGCCTCTCTACAGTTGATGTGGACCTAATCTTTGAAGAGAAAGGGCAAATTTATGACAGTGATTGATTTATGATTTATGATTTATGACTACTGTTTCAGATCATTTCTTTTCATTTTTTTTTTTTTTTTGCCCTCAGGAAAAACAGGGCAACATTGTTAACATTTATATTCTTTAAAACTTTCAGTGAAACTATCACCTATTTTCTTTTTTCTTTCTTTCTTTCTTTCTTTCTTTCTTTCTTTCTTTCTTTCTTTCTTTCTTTCTGCTAAATAATTAGGGCATTTTAATATCTTCTATTACTCCTCATGGGTAATGCTTAAGGAAGCATGGGACAGGTCAGTATTGTAAATGATGGTATTTAAATACACAAGGATAACTAGGTGGCCCTCTATTATCCCCTTTAAGTATAAATATTACTAGGGAAGAAATGGTGGCTTTTTTTAAAACCAATATTACCGTCTTATTAAATATCGGATTTCTGTTTTGTAAGTCAGGCTGAAAGTTTACCATTTGAGTAAATGTCTGCAACCCTCAATAATGTTGAAGTTTCATCAGTCATCTACCTTCCCAACTTAAAATAATTCATCTGAGATTAATTATCAGGATTCAGGACCTCTTTCCCCTAGGAAAGTCAGTATTATCAGCCCAGGCAAATAAAGTGAATTTTAGAATCAGCCTCTTGGATTATTGCAGATAATGAGTCCTTCCTGCTCTGAGGAAAAAAAAAACCAAACCTCATGATCAAGTAAACATTGAGTTATAGTTAACACGGTTACTGTAAACATAGACGATGCAACACGTAGATTATTTTTTCAAAGGTGAAACTCCTGGGCGAAACTGACCCACACAGTAGAACTCTTATGTTGCAACGTTGGACTTGACTCCCCCAGTCAATTTCAAATGTTAAAATTATTGAAGACATTCTTTTTCTTGTACAATAGATATAGTTCGGAACAGATGCCTGCAAGTTTAAAATTAGCAAATTAAATTTTTTTTAATGCATAGTTTTGCCTTTTAAAGGAGTTACATATAAACTATTTTAAAAAGTAAATACACCTAAAATAATTTCATAAATCTGTCTTATGTTTTATACAGATGTTCCCTAAGAAAGTTATGCTTAAACGAAGTGCCTGGGTGGCTCAGTTGGTTGAGTGT